ATACTCTTATAACAATCAACGAAATCAAATTTTTGGGAATGACATTCGACTCTCAACTCAAATGGACATTGCACATAAATGAACTAATTAAATCATGCCAACAGAGAATAAATCTTCTAAAAGTTCTTTCCAATCACAAATGGGGCGCAGACACAACTATTCTTCTACGATTATACCAAGCTCTAATTAGAAGCAAACTAGATTACGGATGTATATGCTATGAAACTGCTACTAAAAGTCAATTGAACAAACTGGACATCATCCAATCCACAGCATTACGTATAGTTTTAGGAGCTTTCAGAACCACGCCAATTAGCAGCCTTCAAGTCCTAGCAGGAGAACCGCCATTAGCTCTCAGAAGACAATATTTTTCGATGTGTTGTGCTACTAAATATCTCAGTGCAAATGAAAACCCGTTTATAACTAGCCTAATAAGAAGTAACCCTCCAAATCTCTACTCAAATCATTGCCCTAGAAACTTACCTTTCAATGAACGAATAAATCGATTTGAATTCAATATACATCAATTGAGAGCCACTTCTACAAATAGATGCCAGTATCCTCCCTGGAAAGTCCAAATACCAAAAGTAGATTTTACCTTACTTACCTATCCCAAACAATCACACAACCCTTCTGAATAAAACAACAATTCCAGTCTACCATCTCCAGATATCCTGATTTCAAACTAATTTTTACTGATGCCTCTAAAAGCAGTAATTGTGTAGCTGCTGCAGCTATTTTTGAAGACAACATCTCTGTCACCCGTCTAGCCAAGGAGTGTAGCATATACACTGGAGAACTACAAGCAATCTTCAACGCACTCAACCAATGTACCAGCAATGATATAAACTTTCTTATCATATCAGATTCTTTGAGTGCCTTAAATGGTGTAAAGCAGATGTATCCAACTCATGCCAATTTAGCACTCATAAAAGACATGCTATACATTGCCCAAACACGTGGTAAAAACATAAAATTTTTATGGGTACCATCCCATGTTGGAATAAAGGGTAATGAAGCAGCTGATAAAGCAGCAAGAGAAACTATCAATAACACGACAATTCCTATGATGCAAAACTTACCGATCTCAGACCAAAAAACATTAATAAAAACTTATATTAACAAAACCTGGCAAGTAAAATGGAACCAAACACAAGCAAAATTAAAAATTATCAAACCAGATGTTACGTCTGCTTTACTACCGCTTCCAGCTCAAAGACATAACCAAGTAATTATTAACAGACTGCGGCTAGGCCATACAAAATTCACACATGGATACATCATCTCCAAGGACCCTCAGCCGATTTGCCACACCTGTCAAATACCATTGTTAGTACAACATATTATGATAGACTGTCCAGTGTACTCAACAGCAAGATCGACAGCAAAAATAAACCACAATTTAAAAGAAACCCTAGAAGAAGACATCAATAACACAATAAATTTTATCAAAAATTGTAAACTCTATAACAAACTGTAACATAACATGAAATGTTTATTTTCCCAAACTGCTATGTAAATTTTAACAACATATTAATGTAACTTTTCTAAAATAAAGATATACCACACCGCTAATAACCCTAGGGGTTGATGCAGTAAACAAAAAAAAAAAAAAAAAAAAAAAAAGTTCCACATGGGAAACTAATCGATACCTTTAAAAACATCAGGACTCGATGGTAAGGATATAAGACTGGTCTCAAACTTATATCTTAACAAAAAGCAACAGTACGATTAAAACATGAACTGTCCGAGATCTTCACAGTCGAAAAAGGAGTTAGACAGGGTTGCATATTGTCACCGGCATTATTTAACATATACGCTGAAAACATCTTTAGAGAGACCTTGGACGAATCAGAAGATGGGATTGCTGAAGATGGCCAATTTATACATAATATTAGATATGCAGACGGTACAGTATTGCTGGCAGATAATGAGCTGAGACTCCAAAGGATGATTGATAACGTTGTAGAAGCATGTAACAAATACGGCCTAAAACTAAATTGCAACAATACAAAAATAATGATCATTAGTAAGAACACCAACATAAACGCTCAAATCACAATATGCGATACACCCTTAGAAAGAGTGGAAAAAATATACTATTTGGGCTGCAATATTAAGGATACTTGGGATCACAGCTAAGAAATAAAAACTCGTATTGAAAAAGCCACGAGCTTTTTCAACAGTCTTAAGAAGATTTTCTGCAACTTATTTTTAAGTATCAATATACGCATAAGAATTTTTAGATGTTACGTCTTTAGTGTCCTCCTCTATGAAGTAGAAATCTGGAGCCTTACAGAAAATGCCATAAAACGATTAGAGGCATTTGAAATGTGATGCTACCGACGTATGTTGAGTATACACCACACAAGTAACATATCTATTCTCCAGAGCCTAAGAAAATACATAGAAATTACTAACACCATAAAAAACAGAAAATTGGCATACTTCGGCCACATCATGCGTAGACGTATATTCTGGCTGGCCAATCTTAGGAAGTGGACTGGTCTAACGTCAACTGATCTATTTCGAGCTGCTGTAAATAGAATAAGAGGGATTAATGTGGTCGCCAACATCTCTAGAAGATAGGCACATTTAGAAGAAGCTGATGAAAAATTCGTGAAGACGTTCAGATGATTTAGCTTTGTTTTTTAAAAACAATCTTAAAAAATGATAAAATCATTTTTTGCCCATAAAACGTTTCTTATGCAGTTTAGAGGAAAATGGTTCAAATAAAAATTGCAAACCTAAAAAAGTTCCTCAATTTGCAAGTTTTCAAATTAAAATACATAAACAATTCCAAACACCAAGAAAAAACTATTAATTTTGCAGTATTTTATAATTGTTAATTACTTTCTTTTTTGCATAATGGCATATAACATAACTACTCAAAATTGTGGCAGTTAATAAGTTATTAAAGTGTGCTATATTTCAAATACTTAAATCGACCAAATAGTGTATAAGTTTGGATACTCTCAAACCGCTACAGAAAAGTGGAGAGGAGGACTGCCCGCAGCAATATCGCTTGTGTTTTTTTTTGAAAGTCTGTTTTTTTTAGATTTTCATTAAGCCTGCTACAATCATGTGACATAAAAAAAATCAGTTATTAAACATGTTTAGAAGCTAAAAAGTCAGCTACTATTAACTATTTTTTAATAAAATGTTAAAGTTTGTTTAATATACCTTATAAATAAAGCCTCAAAGAATCGATTTCGATTTACAAAATATATCTAGAGTAACTGCTTCGAAAGTACAGTTGTTTAAATAATTGCTCTGGGAGATAAACAAATTGAATAACTTATAAACTACATGATTGTTCTGTTTTTGTCTGTTAAAATTTGGCATACTTTAATATCTCAATAACTTCCACAATTTTAAGTAGTCATATTACTTGTTCAAAAAACAAAGTAATTTTTTTTTCTTCCTCAGCTTTTCACTTTTGCGGTCGCCACTTATTTCTGTTTATCGGGTCTTCTTCACCAAACCTTTTTCACTAAAGTCTCTGAAGTCGTTTGTCACACAGTCCTTCCATCCTCTCGGTTTTCCTCTACCTCTCCTTCTATCAAAGTACAGCTAACAGCTCTATCCTTCGTCCCACACATTCTTCATTTCTAAGAGTTTTTGCTTAATTTAAGATGTAGTGTTTTGTTTTATTTTTTCCTTGTTTTGGTTAATATTTTAGTGTCCTTTTGTTTTTTTGTCCATTTGTCGAGTCCATAGCTTTGATTTTAATCTTGAGTATCAGCTGTGGATTCCATATTAGTTTTGAGGATTATCTAACTGATGTTTCAAGGTTTTTTTGTCATTTAACTATCTTCTTTATTCCAGTTCAGGTCTTTTTCTTTAACATATAGCTTCATATATCCTATGTTTGTCGCCTTCCTCTTTTATTTTGCTTCCTTTGCACCTAATAATCATCATTATTTTTGCCTTTATTCCGATGTGGGATTGACTTCCCTAACTACACTTCTCTATAAGTTTCTATTTTGGGTCATACCTATATCAATTCTCGTTACTGACATGTCGTACTTAAGTACCTCCCTCAGGTCTCCTTTGGTCTTCCTTCCCTACTCCTTCCAGGAATTATCAGATCAGCTATTGTATATTCCTTCTTAATTTTATCCACTTTTGTCATTACACTAATCCATTAACTCATTCTGCTTCCTAATAATTTTTTTCTTTAAATTTTACCCTAAATAAATCTTCTTTCTCATTCTTTATTATATAAATTTTATTTTTTTGTGGTCCTCTCTGTTATTGGCTTACAGTCTCACTAACTATTACCTTACATTTCTTATATTCACATGTATCTTATTTTATTATCATAAAATAGTCTAGAGATGGATTTGGTCCACTTTGTAAGCGATACGTTGAAAAAATGTATTACAATCGCTACATCTAACGCTGTTGCTAATTACAGCATATCATTTCCAGCCTCATTTCTAATCCTTTGCTATTTTTCTAATTTCAGCCTGGATTTCCACGTCAACGTTATCATCCCAGATTCTAATTACATGCATACGACCAATTTACTTTTTGTTACTTTACTCTTCAAATCACTCATTCTAGCCGTCATATATTCCAATTCAGAAATTTTATAAACTTTTCCACATTTTCTTTCTCTTGCTACCATTTATTCTATACTTGAGTCTTTAAATATTATATTATTTTTCATTTATCTTTTCATGCTGTTATATTGTATTATTTGCTTCTTTTAGTCCCTTTAACACTGTTTTTATCATATTCCTCTCCAGTCTTTCCTATCTTTTTAAAGTAAATTAAATTTGGTTGTAACTATTTTTTAAATTCAAATAATCAGCGTCACTATTTTACATCAACATTATTGATTATAACTAGCTTTACTGGGAACAACTTTTTTTGACTTATTTTTTAAATTACGATTTTTAAAGTCTAATAGAAAAGTCTTTAAGTAAATTAATAAAATTTAACTAATTAAGTGTCTTTTGCAAGTATAAGAAAAACCGTAGTATGGTCTAAGCTTACCTTGAACTGCCTTTTCTTGATCGTACAGGTGGGCTAGGAGGAAGTGGTGGTAATTTTTTACTGAAGCTGTGCCTTGACACAGGTTGTCCCATAAGTCTGTCTATACTGGAATCTCCTGAATCGGCCGAAGAAGGAGGGGAAATACCACTTGCATCACTGCTGCTTAAATCAGCTGTCGGAAGCCTTCTGTAAATGGTTATATTTTTTAATTATATATAGTACTAAAAACGGCTAGATATTGGAAATAGTAATATAAAAATTGTAGCAGTAAAATAATATTTTTGGCTATTTTCTTCTCACCTGAAATAAGCTAAAAGATAATATAGAATGTTAACAATGTATTTAAAACAATTTTGAAAACATTGAGATAACCATTACGACGGATTTAGACATACTTAGTGGAAAAGTACTTCCGTAAATGGAGGCTCCAAGCAAATACTATATAAACATAAGTTTTCAGTTTCCACCAAAAGAACAAGCTTGTGGGAAGAATAATTAGCAGATTTCGAAAATCCAACCTCAACATACCGAATGGTGATATTCGATAGAACCTTATCTCTCAAAGAGCATCTGACAAAAACAGCGGAAAACTTGAAATCCAGCAATAGCATCAATCATTCACGAATGATTTTTGATTTTAAGGAGCAGATGGGGGTGATGGTTTTTGCTTTTTCGAAGTCTATTTTGTGGTTTGTTTGAATATGATGTTGGGCTAGGGCTGAAGTAGTATCGGAATGTTTGAGTGATATAGAATGTTTGTAAATACGGTTATGAATTCGTCGGTTTGTCTGTCCGATGTATGTACGTGGCCAACTGAAACAAGGTATCTCGTAGACTACTTGGTCTACCACTCCATGGTCCTTATTAGGGATTTGGTCTTTTACGGATCTGACGAGATTGGACAACTTGGAGTGAGTAGTGAAGATGGTTTTGATGTTTAGAGGAACAGTAGAACACAATACTGGTGCGTTTCGAGTGAGGGGAGTAGGCAGATTGAGACCCCGAACTCGAACCGAACCGTATCCCTCTTGATAATGACTCCAAAATGGGAGCCGAAACGTCGAGTGTTAAATTCTCAACGCGGTTCTTCCCGAGAACCTAGTGATTTTCATTCATCTGACCGCGAAAATCTATCCGAACATATATATATATATATATATATATATATATATATATATATATATATATATATATATATATATATATATATATATGTATATATATATGATATCACCTTACATCGCATTAACAATACAGTTAAAACCATGTGGTTTACAAAAGAAACATGGTCTTCACGATATCTTAACTACAATTCCCATCATCCATTTTCCCATAAGAAGTCTGTAGTTATAAGTCTCGCTGATAAATCTATAAAACTAACAGATCCAGAATACAGACCAACTGCAATAAAAAAAGCAAAAAATGCTCTTCTAAAGAATGCATATCCCGAACATCTAATCGAAACTATTTTCAAATCAAGACTCAATAAATTTTATAACAATACAACTAACAACAAACCCAACAGTATCAAACCACTTATACAACTCTTCCATATATAAAAGGTTTATCCGAACAACTAACAAATCTTTTAGCCAAGCATAATATAACAGTAGCCCACAAAGGCAACAACCTCTTAAATAAATACTTCACAATACTTAAAAACACAAACTCCAAAACTTAAAAAATCACATGTTGTTTACGAGATACCATGTACAAACTGTGAAGGTGTCTATATCGGTCAAACCAGTCAACTGCTTCAATCCAGAATTCGTTCTCACAAATACGACAAGAACAACGTCACTGCGCTCACAAAACATGAAAGCGGAAAGAAGCATAAATTTGACTATGAAAACATTAAAATTTTAAAAACAGAAAAAAACAAAAAGAAAAGGGAGATATACGAATCAATAGAAATAAAAAGAAACACCAACGCAATAAATGACAAAAAAGATACACAAAACCTAAATAAAATATATTTCAATCTGATTTAAACAATAACAATATAACATCATAAAAAGCTCTTAAACTCATAATATATCTCCACCTTACCTTTTTCAAAAACATCAACGATACGCCCATATAAAAATAATTATATACTAATGACAGTAAACAATGAGATATCAGATATCAACTTTTATATGTCAGTTCGTTTAATGTCTGTGTCACGTTTTACGTTTTGGTAAGTCATATATATATATATACATATTTTACAATATCTGTTTGTCCTTATATATATACACATTTTAGAATCTTGACAAAGGCAAGGGTTTCCTGCCGAAACGTTGATTAATTGCAATGGAAAATAAAATCTAGTTCCACATGTAATATATCTTTATTGAACCTAACCCAAGAAATATTAATTTTATATTATATATATGTATATATAACAGGCAGTGTATATATATATATATATATATATGTATATAATTAATATATTAATATATACTGATGATATGATCCGAAAATGTATATAGGAAAAAATTAATAGAGAAAAAGAAGACATAAAAATTTGTAAAATCATGTTATAGTTATGTAATATTTATATTTTACACGTTTATATATTCAGGGTGTAAAAAAAAAGGTAACCCTGTCTCTAGGGTAAGTAAAAAACTAAAAAATAATTGGGGTTTGCTTAGTAAAAAATTTTTGTAACACCATCCGTTTTTAAGATACAGGACGATCAAGAAAAAAAATTACGCATTTTTTACGATTTTGCCGAAACTACTGGCAACATTGTAATGAAATTTTATATGAATATGCTTTGGAAGCTGATACATCCCATGAATTTGTTTTTATATCGGATTCTCATAGAGGGCGCTAGTTACACGGATCGTACTAAATATTAGTCAATATAACTTTTTTAAGAGTATAATTATTAATCAAAATTTCAAGTAAACTTAAACATCATTCAATTTTACACGAAAAAGGTACTCTTGGTAAAACTCGATACAGTGTACCGTTTTCGGAATATTTTGATTTGAAAATTCTGAAGTAATAATTGATGCTGGTAGTAATGATAAAGTTCTAATGGATACCTCTATTTTCTCCAAGCGTGCCACGTAAATCTGACATTTATTGATTGTTATGACGATAAATCAACAATAATTAGAGTTGTGAAACCTTGTTATTTGTAAAATCAAATCAAAATGTTGAATACACTGACATGTTATTAACCGTAGGCGAATGTTTAGGATGTTCTAGTGCAGCTGTGACACGTTATGCAGAAAAGTTTCCTAGAAGAAACTTACAAAGTAAAAAACATTTAGAGCCGTTGAACGACGTTGTCGAGAAACTGGGAATGTGAGAACAAATAAAATAAATTCTGGTAGACCAAGAACAACAAGAACAATTAATAAAGAAAAATAATATTTTAAATTTACTTGATCAAGATCCAACAGTTAGCGTAAGGAATATAGCAAGACAAACAAATACTTCTTCTTCAAGTACTTGGCGGATACTGAAAGAACAGAAATTACATCCTTATCATTACAAACAAGTCCAAGAGCTCTTGCCAGATGATTTACCGGTTAGGTAAATTTTTACTTTACCATTAATTTAATTTTCTTCTTGTGAGTTTTTGTTTGAGTACTAACTATTTTATACTAGCATCAATTATTACTTCATAATTTTTAAATCAAAATATTCCGAAAACGGTACACAGTATCGAGTTTTTACCAAGAGTACCTTTTTCGTGTAAAATTGAATGATGTTTAAGCACAGAATAATAAACAATCAGAATGCCCACTCTCCATGGAAAATTAAGTACGCACATCTCCTTCGCGCAGACGTTCGCGCAGACGTGCATAAAAAATTAAACCCGGTTTAGTTGACTTACGGCAATCATAGATATACTATACAATTATATTAACATTGTTAAATATAATAACATAAATATAATATAATTAAACATAACTATAAAACAATTACATAACCTCACAAATCATATGTCTGTGTTATGTGTTTCCTTTCAAAACATGGCGTGCGTGCTAAAAAACTTCAAAGGCGGCATCTGAGAGTGGGCATTCTGATTGTTTATTATTCTGTGGTTTAAGTTTTACTTGAAATTTTGATTAATAATTATAAGTACTCTTAAAAAAGTTATATTGACTAATACTTAATACGATCCGTGTAACTGGCGCCCTCTATGAGAATCAGATATAAAAACAAATTCATAGGATGTATCAGCTTCCAAAACATATTCGTATAAAATTTCATTTCAATGTTGCCAGTAGTTTCGGCAAAATCGTAAAAAGGGCGTAAAATTTTTTGTCTTCAACGCCCTGTACTTGAAAACGGATGGCGTTACAAAAATTTTCTACTAAGTAAACCCTAAGAATTATTTTTCAGTTTTTTACCTACCCTAGAGACAGGGTTACCGTTTTTTAAAACACCCTGTATATATACAGGGTAAGTCATAACTATTGGGACATAGACTAAGGACATGTTATTTGGACCAAAATATGGCTATTGGGCCAAATATGCCCTAATAAAATGATGCTGAGAAAAAAGATACAGGGTGTTAAAGGTAATTTTTGTTTTTCGTTTTCTAATGGTTTCCATGTATATTTATAAATTGCTATGAAAAATTGATACAGAGGCAAAATCTTAGACAAGAAATAGTATTTTATTTACAATTTTACGTTTTGTCATAGAGGGCGCCACGTGGATCATTCCTAATGATCGAATTGAGTCTAAACTTTTTCTGATGAAACTTTTTAGTAATTTTTATTATATAATATGACGTAAACATCATTTTTACGTAAAATTGGTACTCTTGTTTTAAACATGATAATTTCAACCGTTTTCAATAAAAAACGCAGTCGAACTGCTTAGAGTTTTAAAAAAGGATTTCAAATATATATTTCGTTTATGGACAGTATGCTTTGGACTGTCAGATAATTGTTGTTGGTAAATATCATTTGTTCCGAGTAAATTATTTTTGATGTGACAGTGTAGTATAATGTTGCATTTTAAAAGTAATCATTACTTTTTTGATTGAAATGCCTCGTCAGAATCATTTTAACTAATGGAGAAATGCGAGATATGATTTGCGTATACGCACAAGAAAATTTTTGCGGTCACTCGGTAGTCAGAAGGTATGGAATGTTATACGCAAACAGAAGGCAAACAAAAGAAGAACAATTTTAAAAGTTTCCTGGATGGAGAAGATTCGTAACTCCACAATA